ATGAGAATATAAATATCAAATATTATATTGTAAGGAAATTGCTTTTCATATTCTAAAGAGCTAGATAAATACGTTGTTGTTGTTGTTAGCTGCCACTGAGTTGACTCCGACTCAGGGTGACTCCATGAACAACAAAATGAAATGCTGCTCCTGCACCATCCTCAAAATCTCCGCACATTCAAGTCCATCATTGCAGTTATTGTGGCCCTCCATCTTACAGAAGGTCTCCCTCACCCCTGTTGGCCCTCTACTTCACCAAACATAGTATCAACCTCTAGTGATTAATCCCTCCTGATGATGTATCCAAACGAAGCGAGTCAAACAATGTTCCTTTGTGACCCATAAAGTTCTCACTGGTTAATTCTCAGAAGTAGATTGCCAGGGCCTTTCTTCCTAGTCTTTCTTAGTCTGGAAGCTCCACTGAAACCTGCTTGCCATGGATGACCCTGCTGTTTTTGAAATACCAGTAGCATAGTTTCTAGTATCATAGCAACACACAAGCCACCACAGTACAACTAACTGACCGACTGGTGGTGGAGATAAATATTAGGTATTTCTATTTTTATCCATTACATGGGGTCTTGAGAGGACCAATTAAGCATGTATCGGCTCTGTATATCTTAGAAAATCATTATAAAAGGTTAAATCATAACAAAATATTTTAGATGCAGCTGCCTTCATTACAAGACCATAGAAAGCTGGAAGGAGACCTAAATCTTTCTGTACTAAGTGCTGGGTGTGTTTCCACAAGGTTCTGCTGAGTCTAGTTTATAGATGATCCCTTCTGCTAGTATCCAGTGATCACCTGAAACCCATGCCTTTTAAGATATGAATATTAACACTGAAAGATGGAATGCAGTTAGGTATTGAGAATATATAGGAATTAAGAGCATTTCTGAGTCTTGATGTACTTAATCTATTTTTAACATAACAATGTGTAAAGGTGTATAAAATAATTTATGCATTTTCAAGTTTTACTTACTTAATCAATAACTTAAGAAAAACAAAGAAATATAAAAACGGCTAACCCTGAGACACCATAGAAGATATGTTAATGAAAAATTAGAGGAGAGAGTACATGGATGTTAAGATTAGATGAAACTCTACGATAATGAAGATGAACAGAAAATACTAGAAAGAATAACTGGCAATTAGAAGAACAATATGTCAAAGGACTAATGAGGTACAGGTACTGATGGCATCTGATGATGATTTGCCATGATAGGGTTACAACCTGAGCACTGCTGTAAGTTAAGGGGACAGATGGGTATCGGATAAATTTGCTGCGAACTGTCATAACAGAAGGCCCACAGAAAGATAGGACTGTCTTACAGCTAGAGGGGTCTCCCAAATCTGACACCCAGCTCTTATGTACTAAGTGGTGTTCCTGCCTCTGCTCCCTCTGGTTGGACATCCATTATGACTGGGTGGTACTCATGCTGTCCTAGTTGCTACATCCTTTGACTGTCTTCTCTGCCTATACCCTGACAAACTGAACTCTGCAATTCCTTATGTGATGGGTCAATTTTTAATGTGAGAGAGTTCACAGATTTCCCTTTCCCTAATTCATCAAAGAGAATCCTCTAATGGCCAGTACATTTCTCCTCTCCCTAAAAAAGAAAGGCTTTTTTTTTCTGGTTGCATCTGAGAGGCTAAGTTAATCTACATAAAGCGCTGCAGGAGGAGAGGAGGGGAAGGAAACAAGAGACTGTGGGGTTGGGGATGAAGAAGTTATTGTTGTCAAAGGTTTCCTAGAGTATCTCACAGTAGCTCTGAAGTATGGAATAAATAAATAGGAGAGGAAATGGAAGTTTAATAAATGTTGCTGTGGACTACACATTTGGAACCAGTGAGAAATGTGGGGAAAAATAAAATTATTTAAAAATTATTTTGGGATATTAAAGTGGGCTCCTTAAGTGTACATGTCTACTAGATTGATTGTGACTCACAGGCTATAAAATAATTTCACCAAAAAAAGCTCAGAGTGTTCTTTGTGTTTTGTTTATGCTTTAACTTCTCCTTGGACTGCTTTCCACATTCAAAACCCTACCTGCCCTTGAAAGCTTATCTTAAATGCCACTTCATCTTTGGAGCTTTCCTTGATTCTTTTCCATGAACAAATATCCCCAAGCAATCCAACTGGGTGTAATTATTTTCTCCTTTGCAACTTCATAACAATCCATCTTTTCTTCCCTTATGGTGATTGTCACCAGTTCTCGTGGTGTGAATTGGGCTCCTGATCAACTTTCCTTATTGAGGGATAAGGATTCAGCTTTTATGGGTCTTCTAGGTCTACTATCTCTTGTAACCGCTTCCCTGCCCCCCAAATTGTATGCTGTTGTCTCCTCATTCATTCTCTTGAATTTGTATATTTATGCATTTTTAAGTAATCCCCTTTTAAAAATGGGATTTTGATTAGGTTTTGGGAGAGGTTAATTGGGACATTCAAGTTACTTTAACTAGAAAATAGATTATTATAGAAAATTTTCAAAAGAGCAGTTTTGTAGAGAAGAGGTCTACGTTATGCTTATCTTAAGATGAGGCAACAGGCTAAATATTTAACTAGGTTTAAAATGATTCAGAAAATCCAGGGTTGATAACTTTATGGTCAATTAAAACTCCAGTTTCTTGGTTAATAAAATGTAGGAGGGGTGTGGAGATTGGACGAGATTATGTCTGATATCCACCCCTGTTTTTCAGATTCTATGATTCTGTGTGATTATTAGTGGGGATCCCGACATTTGGGGGAGGGACATAGGTCCTTTCTGAAGTTGAGATCATGAGTGTTCTCAATGAGCTGGGTCAATCATGTGTCCAACCCAGGAGGCTATACTCATGTACTTTGCTTCCGTTTTACCACCAAAGTCACAACTGAGGAACCATCTCTTCACACTAATCATACCACAGACCACAATACAAACAGCTTTATAAGTAGAAAATGTCCCCAAACTCTCTAGGACATAAACAGAAAAGTCATTTCCCCCTAAGGATGAAATGACTGCAGGCAGACTGGAAAACTGCACATGAACAACTGTTCAGTGATCTCCAAACACACTTTGTTCAAATAGCTTCCCAACATGGGTACAATTTTTATATCCCCCATATGGGGAATTGGAACTTCCTTGACTGAATCCAGGGCCATAGATCTCCTGGGAGAGACTTGCAGATTTCAACCCAGGACTAGAGCTCTGTGGAAATGAGTAACACAAGACTGCCATTGTTAGAACAGGGCCATCCAGACTAAACTTTGGTTTAAGAAGATCCTATAGAACTTAGCAGGGAGCTACTGATTTCCAAAGGAAAGCAGAGAAAGGATTTGTTAACAAAATACGATGCTGGATTCTGTGAAAGGTCAGCACATGGAGGCCGTATTAGTAAGAATTAGTAAGAATTCAAGAAATCCAAATACAAATTGTTAACTTAAAATCACACGTCTTAAAGGCCCTCTAGGTCATACTCTGCCTTCTGATAAAGCCATATTTAAACCTACTTCTGGTAAATGAGAACCTATCCTCTTTTAAAGATCTCCCATGACAGAGGTTCTATCACCTTTACCTTTCTCATTCAACCATCATTGTTTGGGAAGTTCCTTAAATTCTTATTCAGTTTATTACTTCTGTATTTCAAAGCCACTTTCTAAGAGATAAGATTTCAAATCTCTGATTATAAGGTTCTGTGTTAGACTACTGAGGCTCAGTGTGTCTGTTGGCCAGATTTTCTGGTCTAGATACTCTAGAGATCTCTATATCTCTTGAAGATCACACCAGTGAGAGATATCACCAGCCTCGGAATCAAGAGACCCCAATGCTAGTCTTCTCTGCGCCACTAGTTCACTGTGGGTCAGTGGAAATTCACTTTCTGTCTGGCCTCAGGATTGCTGATTAGAAGATCTTAAGTTCTTTCCTCCCATAGCATGCTATGGTTTCAGATTCTCAGATGTCTGCTTCCTGGGCAGTGCAGGAGAGAAAGGGTAGGAGTTGGGTACAGTAAACTTTGAGAGGACTGACAGACTAATGACAGAGCATTTCAGAAGCTTCTCCTACTTCACTTGTCCCCTCATTATCTTGGAAGATATCTGGGGCTGAACTTGTGGTGATCAAGATGCTGAATCTTCCTGTGACGTGGTTTATCAAGATCTTAGATGGCAGTGATATGAAGATGATGAAGTCACAAGCTACTCACTTGCTAGCAAAGACTAGCAAAGATGTTACTCGAGCTAAAATTATTTATTCTCCATCTCTGAACTGTAGGAGTGAAGCTATAACCGAGGAGTGTACTGCTCCTCACCTCAGCCATTCTCCATTTGTAACATGTCTTTATTTGAGGTGAGCTCAATAGATTACGCTCTTTTTTGAGACATGTTTTGTTGTGACTGTATTTATATTTCATAGGTTTATGTCTTATCTTCTAAGATATGAGGAAAAGATGCAATGATACTTCTTTGTATCCACTATAGGACATGGCCAACTATTTTGTGTATGCTGATTGGTGTGATCAAGAGTTTGCTGAAATTTGGGATAAATTCTCAATAGATTGGGTCACATATAAATATTTTTTGCTGTCAGAGGCTTTTTTACATAACTTCAATCCTTAAATATTATTAAAACATTGCTCCTTGAAAATGTTTGTCTTCGTATTACAGATGACCTAGTTCATCAGTGAGTAAAATATTTACCCCAAGTAGCTCACAAGAGTATCGTCATTTTATGAAAAATGGTAGAAAAGCTGTTGGATTAATTGGCATAGCATGTTTAAAAACACTGATAAACTATAACACTTTATAAAATGGAAACTATCATTACTGCACCAGATTGTGAAGTGACCCAGCAACCCAGTTCCAGCAGGCCAATATCATCAGTTAGACAGGAATCCTCACCCATTCTGGAGTCAGCCGTGCTCTTATCATAGCTTCCTCATTCCGGGCCTCACCTTCCTGCAAGCGTAGCCATGGATTTCAGCATCGATTTAAAAACAGGTCTGAGATGGTGGCAGGAACTTACCTTCACACTTCAGCAGGAAGAAATCCATGTTGTGGCTAAAGGAGGCACTGAAGTAGGTGCAGTTCTCAATCAGGTCACAGGAGAGGCACTGCCTGTTGAAGTTGCCCACAGTGTTGGCACTGAAAGAGCACAGACAGAGGGGTGTGAACTGAGGCAGGGATCCTGGACTGAGGGGAAACACTCATAATGGTCAAGGTTCAAGTCGCTTAGGTAGGCATTTCAAGCTGATTTATTAGTCTCGTGCAAAATGTGTTCTGTGAACCTCTGTATCTCCCAGGTGGAGGTGCATCTCTCTGCCTTGCTCCATCAGTCTCCCTGCTGGAGTATCATTAATTCCCAGCTCCATGTCACCTTCCCCATGAAGGCTTCCCTAACCAGTTGATCCCTCCTACGTTTAAGAATTCTCAGCACTTAAGCCTTCTGCACTGTTGTGTCCTGGGTGATATACTCAGCCCTGTGCTGGGCACTGGGGATATGCAGATAATGAAGCCATGGTGTTGACTTAAGGAGAGTAGAGTTTTGTTTGGTATTGTTATCCAATATTTTATACTCATGTGTCTTATCTCTCTGTCTGGATTCTCAGCTCTTCGAAAAGCAAACATGTTTATGTATCTCTGTACTCCACTGGAGCGCCCAGCCCTGGTACGTGATGGGGCAAGGGCCCCATGAACAACAGCTGAATTAAACTGGCTGTTTCCAAAAGCTGTTTCTGCTGACAGAGTGAAATGGCTGTGATTTTGCTTCTCACTCAATGGAGTTCGAAGAGTTGGGACAGATTGAAGATGTCACCCTGGGATCACTCTAATCAAATATGGGCCTAATTATTCCAAACATTAAAAGATATTGAGGTACCCAATAGGCCTGGAAGAAACATCTGAACATTTTGCATGGGAAGGGTCAATTATAACCACAGGTTTCAATATGAAATCTATCTTTAAAAGACTGAAAATACATCATGGAGGAGACATGATAACTTCTAAGAGTATAAGTTTGAGGAAAGGACAGGCAGGTGGCCTCTGTAATTTTTTTTTCAGCTGATTTTTTTATTGTGGTAAATATATATGTAATAAAACTTTTGCCATTTCAATATTCTTCCCATGTGACATTAACTTACATGCATCATGTTATTAATCTGGTGACATGATGGATTTAAGTTATCCTGATAGACAGGTATCAATGAAAAGTCTATAGAGAGAAGCAAGTCTGTGATCTCATGATTTGCCAAGGAGTCTCTCTTTTTCTCCAAACTTTTGGTGCAAATGGTTAGTGCACGTGGCTGTTAAGCAAAAGCTTGGGCGCAAGCTCCAAGGTTCACACAGAATGCTGGCCTCTTAAATGGCTTGTGTGCAATCTAGGTAGGAACCAGCTGCAAACCTCCTTCTAGTCCAGAAAACATAAAGGAGGTCGAAGATTATGCCATCTTTAACCTAGACTGAGAAAAAGTTCGCAGGTCTAAGCCCACTTCAGCATCAAACACTTTCTCTAATGAGAATAGAAACTGAGGCAGGGTATTAGGTTAAAAGCTGAAGAGGAAGAGATTCTAGGGAAAAAAAAACCAAAAACCAGAAAATCCTCTCCCAGGATTCAGAGGCCACCCTACTTCTCCCTTCTTTGTGATTATGTCACTTGCCCAAAGTCACACAGCAAGAAAGCAGTGAAGCTGAGATGGTAAACCAGGGAGTCCACTACCACTAGTTGCTGTCAAGTCGATTCCAACTTCTGGCGACACCATGTGGGTCAGAGCAGAACTGTGCTACATGGGGTTTTCAATGGCTGTGATGTCTTAGAAGTAATGTCATTGGGTCTTTCTTCCAAGGTGCCTCTGGGTGGATTAGAACCGCCAACCTTTCAGTTACTAGTTGAGTGCTTAACCATTTGTGCTACCGAGAGTCTCCTTAATCAGGTATTAGTATCTGTATATTTCCCAAACCAGACTTTCTCTCCTATAAAGACCTAGGTGAGGATAATTCCTCCAAGTCAATGTTTGAATAAAGGTGAAAAGAAAAGACAGCTAGAAGTCCATCAGTTACCAAGGGTGGAAATTAAATGAGGGGGAAAACTCAATTAGACAAAATCAGAAAAATAAAATAAAGCTTCAAATTTGGTAGCCTCAGTGTTTTCCATTATTTCTTTCCAGGCTTTATAGCTGCTTATCTGTGGTGAATGTCTTTCTTCACTGCCTCCCCTAATGCACTGCTGAAAAGGTGCGGTTCTGCAAAGGCCTGGACACCCTCCTAGGTGTGTGCAGAAGGAGGGAAACAGGTACCTGTAGAGCTGTCGTCGTCTTGGCAGGTCCTCCGTGCTGAGGAAGTAACTGCAAAGACCATTAAGGGGCACAGGAGTTAGTTATACTTCAAGGCACGTTTGTCTCTCAAATACCATCCATTACATTTATAGATCTTCTTAGGGACTTCCGCCATTAGTGGACTAAACTGGGCAGTTCTCCCATTTCAGCCCAGCTACATCTGTGGGCAGAGCAGAGGACAGACAGACCCAGGGGCCAAGGGACATGGCCAGTGCAGACCCTCAGCTGGCATGGGGTCTCCTCTACATAGACTTCACTTTAGAGTCACTGTTGGGGGTGGTTAAAAGCTGAGATATATATCTGGATTTGGATCTGGAAATTTCTTTGCAAAACTGTTAACCTTCTGGAGGACAAGGAATATTTAATACAAGTCTAGATGTAAAGTCTGACTCAATAAATACGTGGTGACTGATTTTCATCTAAGATCCTGAATGTAGAAGCCTTGGCTCACATATGAGTAGGGGGGCTGGACAGCCTGGAGACCAAGTGCCTGGGACCTGGACTCACATCATCCGAGTGAAGCCCCACCTCCTCCACCATTACCTAATGAACAACCTGGGATCAACTACTGAGCTTCTTTTTGTCTCAGTTTGTCTTTAAGAGGGGGAAGACGATAAATCCACCTCATGGAACTGTTGTATTAAATGAGATAATGTTCATAGAGCACTTAGCCTAGTGCCTGGAATGTCTAAATACTCAATAAATATCAGCAATAATAATGACGATGGTAACAACGTATTTCACCTCACAGATCTGATTGCAAGCTTAACTTCATCATTAGTATCTTAAAGCTTTGGAAGCTGGGTTGTTGAGACAGTAATCTGTGGCATATTTTCATGAAGCACCTGGGAGCTGGTGATGTTGTCTGGGAGGAAGGGTGAGGCTTCCTGTGCTATAATTCTGGATTCCATGAGTCTTATTCGATTAAAAACAATGCATGCGACCAGTTCACCAGGCTCTCTGCCGGCCTGGAGTGACGTGGTCTCTCCCTTACTTACATTTTATTCCGCTTCTCGTCATAGGCCAAGATCTTGGTCACATCCCAGTCCCCAGAGGTAATTGACTGAATGTTGTCATTGCTGCTGTTGGGCTGTAACACACACAGACCAGACAGTGAGGTGCCTTGATATCGCACAGTGAGAGGCCCTGGACAGGAAACTTGATTCTTAATTCTGGGGCCATCTTAGATAGCAAGGTGAGGAGACAGCTACTCTCTCTGTGGGAAAGGCTGTTCTGCTCCCCTCTCTGCCGGTTCCTCTCCATTGAGGCTGAGCTTAAATCTGATTCTAGAAAATCTTTCTAACTATCCCCAGCCCCACACCAACCTCCCCCGTCCTTGAGTCTCAGCAGTTCAGAACACTATGGAATTCCTCTTCTTTGCTACTTAGCAAATGGTACGTTGGTTGCCAGGTATACCAACTATGATATAAGCATCGTAAAAGAAGAAGCAGTGCGTTATATGGTGCCAATATTTTTCCTTAATCAGTTTGTAGGCATAACTGGTGGAGTCTATAGGGAGATGGTGAGGGAAGAGAGAAATACAGGGAAGTGGGTGAAATAGAAAACAAGGAAACAGAGAAAGAATAAAGGAATGAAGGAGACCCTTTGGCCCCTTTGCCTTTCTCTGCCCTTCCCAACGAGGGTGTTTGGGACATATTATTGATTATTGCATGCTTCATACATACTGTCCCTCCTAAGTGCCTCACAGTTTGGTATAATTATAACCACAAATCATAGCAGAAGGAGAGACATGAGCTGATCTTGACAGGAAGTGTGTTTGAGCTGTGATTTGAAATGGGACGTGGGCGCGCTGAGGTGCAGAGCCACAGGCAGCTGCTCTGGACACAGGTGTGGTGGGGGCAGGAGCTGATGATAATTAAACAGATGAAGGACTGCAGAGATGGGAGTCACAGGAGAAGGGAGGGCTTGCGTGAGAGGCCAGGGTGCATGGTGGATTCTAGAGGGCAGTGGGGTGTGAGCAGGCTCCCAGAGATGGAAGCAAAAGGGCAGACACAGAGGCATGGGGTGGAGGGCTCCTTAGTGATGGGGGTGCTTCCTGCTGGAGTGGTTTTGGACTCATAATGGAGTACTCAGCAGATGCTGATAACATGGATGAATTTAGAGACTGGAGAATGAATGAAAACATCTAAAAGTATTTAATCTTGATTAAAGTGGGCCAAAGTGAGAAAACACAGGAATCTGGGGAGGTCAAGTGAAGGCCACAGGAATAAACAGATGACGCCAGTTAGCAGACACTTTCTAAGTCATGTAAATAAACCCAAAAAACCAAACTCGTTGCAGTGGAGTTGATTCTGACTCCTAGCGACCCTGTAGGACAGAGTAGAACTGCCCCATATAGTTTCCAAGGAGTGCCTGGTGGGTTTGAACTGCCGACCTTTTGGTTAGCAGCCGTAGCGCTTAACCACTACACCATCAGGGACATGTAATTAGGTGGATTTAAAACAGAAACACTTGCATCTAGGCCTCGGTGTGACTGGGCCCCGGAACTAGGAGTCACCGTGGGGGCTCTCCACTTAACTGTTCTTTTCAAATGCCCTTTCGGCCACTTAATAAACATGTGTCTTCCACTTTGTATCCACAGAATATTTTTGATTAACCTTTCCTCCCCAAACTTTATTCATCACCCTAACCCCAAATAGCTTTGGGCTGCTTCAGAATTCAAACCCACACACCAAGTGAGGGCTGGTCAGCTCTGAGGACCTTTCCAGGAAATGCCACATTCTCCCTCTCCTTTCCCAGAGTTCCCCAAAAGTCCCGCCGATGGTAGCAGCACTGGAGTATGTGCATAGGCTCCCTAGGGTGCAGGGGCCTAGCTATGAAAAATAGCGCCTATGGCAATTAATTTAAAATTACTGAATGATCTCTCACAGCTGGCAATGGAAACTGTGATGGCCAACAGAAACTGCTCATTAGCGCCCTCCTCACGCAGCGCTGAGGGCACGCGCCCTCCCGGCCCTACCTTAGTTATGCCTCTACTAGGGTGGTCTCCTTGCAGGGCACCAGACGCACTAGGATATCTGCTTTGGATTGTAAATGCATTTGTATTGATCTCTGAAATGCCCTGGTCAATGATGCCTCGCTCTCAACCCCCCAGGCTCCAGGCATTGGTGAGCTATGACTGGAAGCAACAGTGTAATAAAACACGAACTGCTTTTAGCCAAAAGTAGAGGTGGGATGCCTTGGAGGGCTAGTCTCGCCAGAGAGGCAGCAGAAAGCCAGCAAGCACACCGAGTGTCCATCCCTGGGGGGCGGAGGTGTGTAAAGGAGGCACTTCCTGCACATGAAGGAAGAAGGGCCAGACGGACACAGGGCTGTCACAGAAAGCGAGCAGACATGTGTCTTCTTACACCAAACGACAAACCCCACAGCTTCCTCTGATCCTGGAAGTGTAACTCGTATTCTTGATTGGTAACAAAAAGGGCAAAATGCAACCCCATCACCCTTATCAGAAACTCCCACTTTTACAAACTGTGCCCCACCTTCAGGAACTTACCTTTAAGTTCACATGTTCTGGGGTTTCCTTTGGGGCACTGGAAAATGACCGTGTGCTCAGTGAGCTCCGTGGTTAGCGCCGTGACCACCACAGCAAGGCAATTTCCAAGCAAGCCTATTTACCTGGGACGACGACACGGTGATATGATAGAACTTTCCTCGTCCTCCCTGGGGGATGGCTCTGACAAAGAAAAACTTCCGGCCGTCCTTGGAGAAGACCGGCTCTTCGTTCTGCGGACAAAAGGCAACTGATTAAAGAAATAAAGAAGTTTCACTTTATTCTGAAAAGGTTGAACCAGGATAAAATACATTTTGAGAGAACAAAAAGGATCCACTTTCTATGAAATTTCTACCGAGGCGTGATTGAAAGCAGCAGCACTGTGAGGGCCTTTTCTTTCCTTAGTAAATGGAGTCAGACTTTCAGTTTTCAAAGACAAGGAACAGGGGGAGCTAGGAGGCCACATCCTAAGCACAGGCAAGCGGAAAGTTGGTTGATACAGCACAGATACAAAGAATGACTCTGGGTATGAGAAGCCGCCGGAGAGAACGATCAGCAGTCCCAGAAGCACAGTGCAGGACGTCCTCCCTCTAAACGCTGCCCATGGCAGAAGCTCTCCAGCTCCATTCATTAGACATTACAAAGAACATAACTCAGAACATTCACAAATCTGATTTTGCCCAAAAATGAATACTACTCTTTCACTCCAGTCTTTTGTTCTTTTATTTAATAAAACTTATCTCTCACTGAATAATAGCTCACCAAGACAAGAAAAAATAAACCAACCACAAGGAGATAGTCTATGTCTTCAAATGTAAATGAGCAGGAACAGTACTTCCAGGGGCTCACTTTTTGTATTCCTGCACTTGTAACTAGAGAAACCACCCCCTGTCAGTTTGTCGTACTGTGGTGGCTTGTGTATTGGTGTGATGCTGGAAGCTATGCCACTGGTATGTCAAATACCAGCAGGTTCACCCATAGTGGACAGGTTTCAGGGTGCTTCCAGACTAAAACAACCAGGAAGGAAGGCCTGGTGATCTACTTCCAAAAATCAGCCAGTGAAACTCCTATGGAGAACACCAGAATATTCTATGATAGAGTGCGGAAAGACAAGCCCCCCGGTCAGAAAGCACTCAAAACACACAGTGACCACACTGATGGACTCGAGCATACCAACGATCTTGAAGATGGCACAGGACTTGGCAATGTTTTGTTCTGTTGCACATGGGGTCAAAGGAGCCCTGGTGGTGCAGTGGTTAAAGAGCTCAGCTACTAAACAAATGGTTGGTGGTTTGAACCCACCAGCCACTCCCCAGTAGAAAGATGTGGCAGTGCGTGTCCGTCAAGATTTATAGCCTTGAAAACTCCATGGGGGCAGTTCTATTCTGTCCTACAGCGTCACTATGAGTCTGAACCGACTCCCTGGCAATAGGTTTAGCTTTTCTTGACATGGGGTCACCGTGAGTCGGAGATGCCTTGACAGCAGCTAACAACAACTAGAGACAAGTTTCCGCGGCCAACATGGTGCAGCTACAGTTGCTCTTCCCTGAGAACAAAATCAGAATTCTCAGCTTCCCCTGGGAAACGAGCTCCAGGTGGACTCAAAGCAGAGGACTAAAGGGTGTGCCCCCATCTCTGCCAGGTCCCCCAAAGCCCTCAGCCGGGTGCTCAGCCGGGTGCTCAGCCTCCAGCTAGTGCCTGCCCGTTAGCTGTTGCTTTGATGGACGAAAAAGGAATTTGATCCACAGCATCCTGTCCTCCCCAAAGCTCAAGTCTGAAAGTTGCCATCCATGAACACCAATTAGTTGGCTACAATATACATTTTTTGATTCAAGGAGCTCCACGCTAATGCGGAGGAGAACAAACGTTAAATAAACCCCAGCTGGCATAAAGCGAACTCATTTCCCGGCAGCGAGAGAGTACATGCAAATGTGATATGCCCGAAGAAATAAACTAACATGTGATTACAATGACATTTAATCTTCATGAATATTTGCAAAAACATGAAACCTTTAATCTGCAAATATTTATTTTTCTATTTAGAGTTGGAAGCATGGTATTTTAAAAGCAGAGGGAATGGAAAGATGAGCCGCAAATGCGGCTTTTTAAATGCGCTTCTATTTGCCAGCTCCAGGTTAGATATGGCAATATGCCTTCAGTTTTCTGGGGAAATGTTTCTACTTTTGGCAGGAAAAAAATACTTTGAGTAAATGTAATAAATAATTAATTTTGGCCAGAAGCCTTGTTTCTGTATTCAGAGGGCTACAACCATTGTGACGGAATAATCATTGTTTTGTGGAAACATCCCATGCACGAGAGAACACACTGGCCTTTCAGCTTCTCGGACACCTGCTATCCCATGTAGTAAATGGAATATCTCCATTCAAAGTAATTTTAGTGAAGAAGTACAATGATGTTTTTGACTAGGAGACATGGATTTTACTCCTGGTTCTGTCTCTCATTTGATTTAGGGGGAAATTTATCTCTCTGGATAACAGAGAATTTATGATACGTGATGCCTGGTTTATACAACTTTATTCACAGCAGACCTGGGAGGAACAAGTGCTTTTGTTTTGTGAGATACTTTTCGTAAACTATTTGTAGCATTTCTGTCAAATCTTCCCACGGTTCAGATACATTCATCTTGTCCAACTTTCCATCCAAAATTTTGAAATTGCAAAACCAAAATTCTGTTTCAAAAAGACAGTCATAAATTGACCCATAGGACAAACCCTTCAGCCACAAAGACAAGTTCTGGGGTTCTGTACAAATGGCCAAGTGGTCCTGGGGCAGGGCCTCAGCGGATGGTATCAGGATGGACTGCACAGTCACAGCAGTGATGATGGATGTGGTGTGCAGGGGGGATTGTTCATTTCTCTGGGATCCTTAAGGAGAGGGGCTTGGTGGGCTTTCACCACGTGACACGCACACAAACATATTCACTCCTTGCTTTGGACTCATGGGCGAGCTCTGTCGGGATCCTCTGCTGAGGACTGGGAGGGAGACGGAGGAAAAGAGAGAGATGGAGGCTAAGACGGAAGCCGGGTGGGAACCCATGGAACAGTTCTGCCCAAGCCAGGCCCCAGCAGGGCTGCCGCATCTCCTCTCAGCTCTTCTGGCAGTGGGCAAATCGGAAGACAGCTCCATCTACACAGACAGGTCTCCCTGAGATCGTCAGGGCTCTCCAGACTGGTCCTCAAGCGGCATCTGCCCTGGGATCGCTGGGTGAATATCCGTGGCCCATTTTAAGTGGACACGGAGCAGGAGTGCAGCCCGAGCTCATCTCTCACTGGTGGTGAGAGCTTAGCAGGCAGCAGATGGCAGATCCCACCACAAATGAGATCCTAAACTGCCCTCTAGGACCTCACCGTAACATGAAAGATGCAGAAACACTAAAAATTATATTTGAAAAATAGGGCTCTTTATGAAAAATCTCTTCAAATGGAACTTAATGAGATACTGTTTGGAACTGGATTTCCATACTGACCACGGAGCTCTGATGGAACAGAGTCACAGCTCACAGAGCTGCCATGCCTGGGACAGCTGGGGCCCCCACCACTCCTTGGGCGGGACTATGGATGGCTGTGGCCACTAGACCTGACCTAACAAAGAAAAGACCACCTCAGGGCAACAGGCCCTTTCATGGAACATTATGTTTGGAGCTCAAAAAAAGCATTACGTATTTTAAATAGCTGTTTTTACAACGCTAGCTGTTTTGCTAGTAAATGCTTTAAAGTATACATTTTTAAAATGTCAGCTTTATTATTTTAATGAATGCTACTTTTTAAGTGCTGAATTGATTTTGCTCAGAAAGATATGGTTTCGCAAATCACGTTCAGGCCGTCTCTACCAGGCTTTAGTTGTTGTCGTTTGGGTGGTGAGGCGCATGACGGATAAATACGTAAAATGACTGTGTGCTCACGCGGCAGGGACGATGAGGAGGTGAGTGATGGAGGAGGGTCAGTGCCCCAGCCATCTGGCCTCAGACGATGCCCTTCTGCTGTGAGCTGCAGGTGAGCAGTGTGAGTGCCTCTCGGTGGAGAAGCCAGGGGTGCAGGAGTGGTAGGCAGAGGACAGAACACCCCTCAACCTCACTTTCCCGCAGCCCCAGGAAAGAAACAAATGGCTGGGCTGCACCTATCCATGGGCCGCTCACCTTATCCCTCTCCTCCATCGGTTCAGATCCACGTTCTCCACACCAGGTCAAGAGCCGAGCATACCCTGCCTTCTCTGGGCTGCACTCCTTGCTGCCCTGCCCTCACCCGGCAACTTCTAAACACTTACAACCCATGATCTGAGCACATGTGAGGGTAACTCTTGTATCCCACCTTTCAGAATCTCTGTGTATGCCTTACCTTTCCTTCTACACTGTTAAGATCTGAGAGCTGACTCATTCTTAAAACCCACAAAGCTTAGCATGGTGCCTCATATAATCCATAAATATTGACTGAACAAATGTCTATATAGATAATGGATTTTTCTTCCTGATCCTTTCATTCTAATCTTTCTGATGCTTGTCTGATATAAATATTGTAACATTACTATTGATATTTGTGCTTATATGTTTGGTGTTCCATACCTTTCTAACATGCTAATATTTTAGGGTTCCCAAGTACACTCTCATTGTAGATATTTTCTCGGCTTGGATGTGGCACCCAAACTAGGACATAAGAAAACCAGAGAGGCCATATTGAGCCATTGCCCTTTTGGATAAGATGAGCACTGAGCAGAAAAAGAATACATTTAAAACTAATAGTGTCCATTTATGAGACTACCATCCCTGAGATAAATGACAGAGGCTTGCAAGGATTGTTAATTTCTTAGCTAAATGCAGTGGCACACCACTCAGAATGTTAGAACTTTCTTGGAGAGTCACTGTCGATTGTTTTATTGCCTAGCTTTAGTTATTTTCCACAAATAGAACTTCTCACATAAAGACACACACCTATGGCTTCTCCACATAATTCCTTCTACTCAAATGTGGCTTGATTTTTTCCCCCACAGAATTTCAAGACAATTTTTATACCATTCGATAGGATAAGGATGTAAGCTTCAAAAACTTTCCCACCTGTTCCTTCTAACATCAGGGTGAGAAATGAGACAAAAAGAATGAAAGAAAATACAGTGCCAAGGGTTTTATTTTCATGTAAATTTAACTTTATATATATATATATATGTGTGTATATACATATGCTACATGAAGTGATTTACTTTAGGCCTCTCCTCTTCTCTTTAGCTCTCAAGTTCACAGAGCCTGTTTTAGTATGCACTTCTAGATCTGAGTTTGGGATGACAAGTGAGGGGGGTGGTTTGGTGCCAAGTCCCCAAGGAAGGCTAATGCTGAATCACAGCAGAGTCTACTTCAAGTGAGACGTTGAGGAGTCACTGTGTGAACAAGCAGGAGTGTCGCCCTCATTGCGAGCTTTCTGTTTTCTTTTACCACAGTAGATTCCATTTACCACACACGTTACATCTAGGACACCCAGATGGGCCCATCCCTTTTAGTTTACCAAAAGCACATCATCTCACCAGGAACTGATGTCTCACCAACCCCTCTTGGTTCTGAAGAGCAAGATGTCACACACTCATTCTGGACTGTCCAGTGGCGCCTCAGGGGCAACTGAGGAGAAGAGGGTGAGGCAGGGGCTCTGCGTCACCAGGACCACACCACATCTATCTGTCTGTGTCTGGGGATCCCCTGCATGATTTAGTCTGAGAAGCGGACCTGCAGCATTCCAGACTCTGAAAACCATCATCCCGGAGGACCAGACAGCTGGTGTAGGCTGTGAATATGGGGATGCCGCACGCAACATTTACCTGTCTGTGGAGCCAGGCTTCACTTTCATCCTCATGTTTCTGAAATGAAACAAGAGCATTAGAAAGAAGGTTTTTTGCATGCTATTGTGTCTATGCCAACAGTGCGGAAACCCATTTGACTTCACCTCCACCGCAGCTGCACAAACACAGAACACCCGCTGTTGCGTGCTCAGCAGGAGGTAATCCTGGCCTCCGCTTTGTCTCTGAGAATGGTTCAAGGCTGAGCCTGGGTGTCCTCAAACAGGCAGGGGTGTCATTCTCCCTAACAACGGTGACAAATCCATAGCAGGCGGATCCCCTGGAAGATGGTGGGACTTCCGCCATTTGATGGACATCCCTGTCCAGGCACGTGCTTGTTGGAAGGCAAACTGCAGAAGCCACATTGTTTCAGGATTACTTGTGTGTGTGCATACACATGCATGTGTGTATGCACGTGCATGTCTGTGTGTGTACAAGTGTGTGCACGTGTGTGTGGCATGTGTGCGTGCACGTGCATTTTACCAAATTTAGGGTTCATAACACTTAGTAACAATTTTGGTGGGGGGAAAAACTTTACAAGGGATTAAAACATATACAAGAAGTAGATTGCACAGTACTGTGTGGAAAGAGGCACCATGTAAGACAAAGTAAAAACAAGTACAAAAAACAAGACACAGCTACTCAGCACACACAGTATCATCCCAAGGTGCAATGGAGCTGTTCCTGGTGCTGATTTTACTTCCAGGCCTCCAGGCAGTTGTTCTTTTGACCATGGACTATTGGGGGAGAGAAGTGAATGTTACTGACGCTCACAAGATCTGGGGCATAGATAAGATGTAGATTATGAGCAATTCCCTGTCTCCTCACTGTGTGTCCAACCTTCCCTTCCCCTCAAAAAGACCCTATCAGAATAATCTGGAATATGCTCTCAATTATATACAGAAATAAGGTCTATTGTTGATCAACTTCAGGACATTAATCTTAGTAACAAATGAGTGATTTGCCTCACAACCTGACTGGGGAAGTATAGTGAGAGCCGCTGTCTGAGGGGCTGAACACAGACATTCCTGGTGGAGGATTTGGTGTGGGAAACCAGAGGCGGAAGCTGCAATAAGCCTGCTTTTGGAAGGGATTTCCCTCCTCAGCTGGGAAATAACATTTAGAAAGATCTGCTTGAATGTATTCATTATTTTTTTTACCCAGGACTAGGAGATCTGCCTCTGAGGTAAGTGACTGGCAGTGTGTGGAAGCGTTTGGAGATCTGCCTCTGAGGTAAGAGCCTGGAAGTGTGTGGAAGTATTTGTTTCTACAGAGTGGGGGTGAGCCCTCCACTGAGGGGGCAGGAGGTATTGCACCACCACTCTCCTGCTCTGCCACATGAGTCTTCCATTCTTTCTTTGCTCCCTCTTTGCGTTTTTTTGTGTTTTCTTGCTTTTGCATCCTCTAACTACACGTCAAGCTAGCCAGCGGCTCTTCGAAACCTTGTTTGGCCTCACTGGTGACCCCCAGAGACAGGGATGCTGACCCGCCCAGTGCGGGTGGCTGGCTCAGGATCAGGTGGATGAGAGAGCAGGTGAGATGGAGCTAAACCAGGTTGGAGTGCTGGGTCTGCTGCCAGTTGTACGGCCTCAGGCCAATCACTTCACCTGTCTCAGCTTCATCTGTAAAATGAGGAGAATGCTCATTGATAAAATAGCAGTGAGCGTGGCTAAACAAATCCAACCCATAAAGAGACAGAGAGTGACAGAATGGATTAATAAAACAGGATCCATCAATATGCTGTCTACAAGAGACACACCTTAGAAACAAAGATGTGAATTTATTAAAAATCAAAGGTTGGAATAAAATATATCAAGCTAACCACTACTAAAAAAGAGCAAGAGTGGCAATACTAATCTCAGATAAAATAGACTTTAAAACAAAATCCACCATAAAAGACAAAGGACACTATATAATGATTAAGGGGATGATCCATCATGAAGACATAACCATAATAAACATCTATGCACCCAATGACAGGGCTCCAAAATACTTCAAACAAACTCTAACAACACTGAAAAGAGAAATTGACAGTTCCACCTAATAGTAGAAGACTTCAACACACCACTCTCAGTAACGGATGGAACAACTAAAAAGAAACTCAGCAAAGATACAGAAGACCTAAAGGGCACAATCAGCCAACTTGACCTCAAAGATATATATAGAACACTCCATCCAAAAGCTGCAAAGTACACATTCGTTTCCAATGCACATGGAACGTTCTCCAGAATAGACCACATCTTAGGCCACAGAGCAATCCTCAACAAGATCCAAAACACTGAGATAATACAAGGTATCTTCTCTGACCACAATGCCATCAAGGTAAAAATTAACAACAGAAAGAGCAAGAAAAAAGAAAAATCAATTACATGGAAACTGAATAACACCCTGCTTACACATCAATGGGTAATAGAAGAAATCAGAGATGGAATCAATAAATTCCTAGACTCAAACGAGAATGAAAACACATCATGCCAAAACGTTTGGGACACAGCAAAGGCAGTCCTCAGAGGACAATGTATAGCAATAGATGCACACATCAAAAAAGAAGAAAGGGACAAAATCAAAACATTAACTACACAACTCAAACGAACAGAAAGAGAACAGCAAAAAAA